CTTTGTTCATGCAAAATTTGCAGAAACATAAAATTAGCAAATTTATCATTATATTTTGTAAAGATATGCACGCTATGCATATATGAAAAAAAAGCTTCTAAATTCTAAAAGAAATATTAAAATTTAAAACGTAAGAGAGGTACATTTTTAACTTCACTTAAAACATTAAAGAAAAATATAATAAAAATTATAAAACTATAATCCATAAACTACGCAATGCTATACTTCACAAATAAACAAAATTAAAGAGATCAAAACTTTTACATTTAAATGAAAAATCAAAATAACATAATAAAAAATTAAGTTTAATTAAAATCTTTGCATAAAAGAGCTTAAGATGTTTTTTTAAAAAAATCTGATTTTTAAATGAATTAAGCGTGGTGTAATTTATAAAGAATCCCGAAGGAAATAACTTTCTAAATCACAAAATTAATTAAGTAAATAAACTAAATCATAATTTTTATGAATTTATTAACACAAAATAATTATTCACTCAGTAATGTATATGCTTTAAAATGTAGCAAACTTAAAAAAAAAAAAACTTAAAAAGTAATTCACAAAAAAACTACTTAATTACAGTAACGCAAGTAAATTCATTTTTTTCCATCTCTGTATATATATAACATGTAACCCAGTACAACCTATTTCATATCCTGAAGTCTTGTAGGATATGCTTTTTTAAGCAAAAGCTGGAAGGTGCCAACTCTGACTTAACACACCCCTTGCCTTAGGGCTCTTGGTTGATTAAAGGCTAGAGATGGTGTCTCTATAAAAATACTCACCTTGGACTCACATTAAATGTATCTGGTTACTACCTTGTAAAAGGCCTCCTAGGCAAAGATTTAAAGGGTAAACGAATTCCATCTAAAAGGTTGAATTAAGTGATTGTGATTTGCTTAAATCTGTAAAAATATCTGGTCTTCAAAATTTTAGTTAATGCAAAACCGTTTACTTTGTTTTTATGGAGCAAATTAGCTTAAATTTTTTAGCAAATAAATTAAAAAAAACAGAACAAAACAATAAACTTATGGCTAAAAATGTAACAACACTCTAGCACTAACTGCATTATAAAAGTAATAACACTATAATAGTGTTATTAATTTTTTTATTTAAAGTAATAACACTACAATAGTGTTATTACTTTTATAATGCACTTAAAACTTTTTTAATTTATTCTTTGTTTAATAAGTAATCCCAAATTTTAATTGAAGTAGAAAAGCATCTAGAAAAAATATAATGGATTTTCAAATAATTCTAAAAACTTCAGGAACTTAAAAAAATACATGCCTTATAAGAGATGTTATACATTTCTAAAATGTTAATAATGGTCTGTAAAATGCGCAATAATTAAAATCAACCAATAAAAATTTGTTCATTTAAAAAATTGGTTCATTTTAAAATTTACCAGTGTTTTTACGGATTAATAACATTTTTTGAAATGATAAATTTTTTATAAAGTACATATTAGTTTAAGTTTCTAAAGTTTTTAATACTATTTGAATATCTGCTCTATTTTTTCTAGATGCTTTTCTAATTCAATCAAAAATTGGAATTACTTTGAACAAAAAATCAATCATTAAAGTTGTAAGTATGTTATAAAAATAATAACACGATTATAATGTTATTACTTCTAAATAAAAAAATTAATAACACTTATATAGTGTTATTACTTTTATAGTGCAGTTAGTGCCTAGAGTGCTATTACTTTTGTAGTTGTAAGTTTATTGTTTTGTTTTTTACAACTTTTTTGCTACAAATTTAACTTAATTTGCCCCTCAGAAAACAAAGCACACAGTTTTGCATAAACTAAAATTTTGAAGACCAGATATTTTTCCGGATATTTTTTATACCCTTGCATCTGTTGACTAGCTTTGCACTACTTCTTCATCTGTTAGGTTGGGGTAGATTTATTTATAACACATTGTTTCCAGTTTAGGATGATGAATGCTGGATCTATTTGATTCAGTGCATAGGTTTTGCTTGTGTCTCTGTTTCTAAGACTAGGCAACTCATTCTATGATCTTCTAATGAGGGTACAGCTCTAAAACTCAGTTTTATGGTTCTGAGAAAACCATCGTCATCACCAAGTTCTCAAAATCTAACGTTCACTAAAATTTGTGGTATTCCAAGTAACTTTTCTTCTGTTGAGTCTTATCTCTTGCAAAGTTCACCAGACCTACTTGCTCTTTGTGAGACTAATTTGAGTTTAGCTGTCTTATCTTGTGATCTTAGTGTTAATGGTTATGAATTCAAAGACTACTTTTTTATGAATTTTCATTTAGCACCACTTCATTCTATCACCTTTTTTTTTTCTGTATCACTCTCTTTCATCTCAAGACTGAACTCTTTTTTGATGAAACTTCTGATCAAATTGATAAAGCCCTTTTTCTTTATCTTTCAGCCAATATCATTGCTGTTGGTATCGATGCTCATCACACTGAATGGTTTGGCTCTAGTGTCAGTGATTCAACTTTTTCCTTTCTCAATCTCTAACAAAAATAGTCAATTTTCCAAATCGCTTTCCAGACAATCCGAATCGTTTACCTTCTATACATGACTAATGTCTTGTTTGTGATCTTAGTCAGTGCTCAGTTTCTCCACATTCACCCTAAGGTGTTTCTGATCACGGTCTAATCTCTCTAAAACTATTATCTCATTCTTCATCATCAGAATCCACTTATCATCATACCTTTTATAACTACCTTGAAGCTAACTGGGACTCTTTCCGTGATTTTCCTTAATGACCCTTGGGTAGAAATCTTTCGTATTCCTGCTGACAAATGTGCTTCTTATCAAGCTTTCGCGTAAGAGCCGTGTGGTCGCATGCCTTGTATGATCTTGCATATAATACTTTCTTTTGAGAACTTGTCACGGTTTTTTGACAATTAGCGCTTTTAAAAAATGCGCTAAAAAAAAACAAAGCAAACATAAATGCAATTTTTAATTTAATTGATTCCATAATTACAATTAAAGTGCTAGAAAATTCCCGGAGTACTTTATTGCAATAAAGTTAAGCTATCAAAATCATTACAAACAGTTTTATCATGGTAACTAAATTTATAATAAAAAAAATAATTACATTTCTAAACAAAATATTTACAACAATCTTGAAATAATCGCATCTGTGAACTACTTTTTAACTATGACAGGGTGAGACATAATTTTTTTAATGAACATTGACTTATGTATATTTATTTATTGGCGAACTTCTAATATTAGAAATTTATGTCAAGTTTGAGGGAGTTTTATTTTCAAACAATCTTTATTCTAGTTAATAAGTTATTAAATATAACAAAGATGCTTAATAAATTTATTATTGCAAATGCGTAAACTTTTTTACGCATTTGCAAAGTGCATGCAAATTAATGATAAATGCACAATAAAAAAAAAACTTTTAAAAGTGTTTTTAATATGCAGACAAACATTACTTTAAAAGAAAAAGTAAATTTAAAAAAAAAACCAAGCATGCAAAATTTTAAAATAAATGTATTTGCTTTATTTAAACTTTTAATGCAATTGCTAATTACTTAACTATTATGATCTCTTTCTTCAATAAAAGAAAAGAAAGCAATCATATTGCTTAAGCACATTATCTTTTGAAGTAATTGCAAAAGCATTTATTTTAAGTAAAACTTTGCATGCTTTTGTAAGCGCATGCAAAAACCATGCTAAAACATAATTACTTCATTCAATAGCTTACTTAGTTATTTTACTTAAAAGTAACGCTGTTGAAAACAGTAATTATGATTTGGCATAATTTTTTTAAAAGTCTCTGAAATTAATTGTTTTATATTTAAAATATGTGTTTTTTATAATAAATAAAAAACTACCAATCGCAAAATCATATGGAAAATTATTGCTCAAGTAATGCTTTTGTTTAAAAAAATATTAATCAAACACCAACGTTTGCATAAGCAAAATTAAAGAAAATTGATGTTTATTTCTTGTTCAACATTTGTTTTAATAAAATTAAAAAATTGCACCACAAAATTTTATTAAACTTTTAACTTTTAAACAGACTAATTTACTTGCATTTTTAAACATTGTGCTGTGAAACATATATTGATTTCTAAAAAAACAAATAAAAAATCTGACAGAGGACAGAGGGGAGGCAGACGCAGACCTTATGGCCCATCCTATTACTATAGATCCACCCTCTATTGCCAAAGTCTGCTATTCTTGGGTCACAAAATCTCATATTTTATTTCAAAAATTAGGCTTCAGAGAGTTATGGAGAATGGAGTGTCAACAATAAGGGTAAACCTGTTATTCCTCTTCTTTTACATGATTCAGTTTTTGTTACCTCACCTAAAGACAAAGCTGAATTATTTGCTTACAACTTTTCATCAACCTTGTCTCTTGATTTCACTTATCACATCCTACCTGATATAGCCAACAAACAAGTTGATCCAATTGCAATATGGATTTCGATCTTCTTATTCTACTGCTGATTTGTTAACGATTATAACTGATTGGTTTTGTTATGTATTAAATTAATCTGGAAAGGTGAAGGCTATCACTCTTGATATTTTTAAATTCTTTGAAAAAGTTTGGCATGCTGGTCTTCTTTATCAGCTCTCTTCTTATGGTTTATCAGGTAACATCTTTACAATTATTGAATCCTTTAATTGTAGTATAAAAGTTGTCCTCGATGAACAGCACTCTTCTTTATTTCGTATAACATCAGGGGTTCCTTAAGGTTTTGTCCTTAATCCCATCCTTTTTTAATTTATATTAACGATCTCCCAGAAATTCTCACATCTAGGGTGGCTTTGTTTGCTGATGATGCTATCATTTATTCTATTATTTTTTTTATAAGAAGCCAACACTCTTTGATTATATAGAGGGGATATTTGATCTTGAAAAAGATCTCACTTTAAACATTTTAATTCAACTGGAAACATTTAAAATATTTTGTTTTCATTTTATACACATGCTAATTGATAAAAATACTAAATAAAAAAAACAGTTGAATATATAAATTTTAAAAATAAACCAACCTTATCTGGACATGATATCAAATGTTGGCAAATATCTTTTCGCAATACAAAGTGATTTGCATTAAACGAACATTGCACTAGATCTTTCTCAGGATAATTCTAAAAAAAACATGAAACTTTTCTTAATATGATATTTAAAAATGGCTTAAAAACTAATTGTTTATTTTTGAAGTATGTTTTGAACATTAGTAGACTATTTTTCTTGAACATTAGTAGACTATTTTACTTGAGCCTTAGTAGACTATTTTTCTAGAACCTTAGCAGTCTATTTTTTTAGAACCTTAGTAGACTATTTTTCTAGAACCTTAGTACTAAAGTTAGGCTATTTAGACTATTTTTCTTGAACCTTAGTAGACTATTTTTTTGAACCTTAGTAGACTATTTCTCTTAAATCTTAGTAGACTATTTTTATTGAAGCTTATTAAATTATTTTTTTTGAACCTTAATAGACTATATTTCCACTTATAAATAAACTAGTGTTTTAATTTATTTGTTCATATCCAATTATATACAAGTTTTAGGACTTTATTATATAAAAAATAGCCTTAATAAACAGGTGAGCGGGAATTTTTTTTTTTTGAGTTTATAATTTCTAATTTTTAAGACTTAAACTGATCTCAAAAATTAGAAAAAACTAAATTTTTGTTTTTAGATTTGAGATACAGTTTCTTTGTTATAACAAGTAAAATTTAATTTAAGGGGGAAATGGTCTTAATGAGCTCACGGTGGGTGTTAAAATTTTCAGAAAATAATCAAACACTAACTTCCGTGTATTAAGCACATAAGAGTACCACCTATTTTTTTCTTTGAATTTCTGATTTATAAGTAACAAACGTAAGTAAATTTAACCATATTTTCTGTTTTAAAAAAGACCACTCTTCTACCCAATGGGCATGCATTCTCTGGGGGACATCCGTGGGACGTCTTATGGATGTCTGTGAGATGCCCAATTGATGTGAGATATACCCCAGATAATGCGTGCCCACTGGGTACACATTCTTCACAGATTCTCTTTACTCTATACATTCTTTGACAGGTCTTAGTTTATTTTTATATATTTTAAGTTGTTTTATTGGATTCCTTGTCTGAAAATATGAAAGTGTTCATATTTTACACTGTGCATTGCATACAAAACAGAAGCATAGACCAAAACCATTTTTTTAAATGGCGGATTTTTTATGGTTCAAGGCAAAGTTTGAATAGTCAATCTTTGAAATTTGACAATGAAACTTTAGGGATATTCATAACTAATCAAAATCTTTAATTTGTGTAAAAATTAGCAAAATATGAGACTTAGGGTTGCATGACCTCAGTTCTCCTTTCTCATTTGAGAATGAATGAGAAATGAACTTGGTTTGCTGGACTGAACAAGTACAAATCAAAAAATAAACAAAAAAATTTCATTACCTTTCTAAAATCAAATTATATTTCATTTTTTGTTACTTTTGTTAAGTTGCTTTTTCAGTTTTGTTTGTCAGTTGTGTTTTTGCCTTGTTGAATTATGTGGTTGTCAAGTTGAATTAATTGTTTATTTGTTGTGTGATTGTACAGTTAAATTAATTGTTTGTCTGTTATTTAATTGTCCAGTTGAATCAATTTATTCTGCTTTTTCGAATTTGTATTTAGTAATTTGTATTTATTGAGGTTTTGATTTTTATAAAGATTTTTGCTCAAATATTTTAATAGGTCCCCAAAATTTCATCATTTTAATGCAAAATTTTATATTTCATCAAAATTTCATCATCTTTTTGCAAAATTTCATCATCTTTTTGCAAAATTTCATCATCTTATTGCAAAATTTTATCATCTAATTACAAATGGTTTCAAAGATAAAACTTTACCATAAACCAACAAAAATCAAAAATTAAAAATGGTTTTGGTTATTGTTGTCTCAGAGATAAAATTCAATTGTTGTTTATATAAAATTAAATAAAATTCAATTATTGTTTAAAATATTGTTGTTTTAAAGATAATTCTGTGTACAGAGGGAAAGTTAAAAATATATACACTTACATATTTTTATGCAAGGAATCTAATAAAACAACCTAAAATATTTAAAAATAAACATAACACCTGCTATTTTGACCTTTATCCCATTTTTAGTGGGGCATGTAGCTTGATTTTTTTTTCTAGTTGACTAGAATAGTTTAGTTAGAGTTGTTGTAAAGAATTAGAAAGTGGTCTTTGTAGTGCTTAACAATGGAAGTTGATATTTATTAATTTTCAGAAAATGTTCCTACCCACCCTGAGCTAATTAAGACCCCCTCCCCAGGCTTATTAAGTTTTACTTGTTATGAACAAAGAAACTGTATGTCAAAACTAAAAAAAAAAATTTCAGTTATTATTTTTTAGTAAAAACTTCTAAACATAATTAAAGAAGATAAGAGCAAACAAGTAAGTGAGAGCAAGAAAATAAGTGAGAGCAAGAAAATAAGTGAGAGCAAGAAAGTAAGTGAGAACAAGAGTAAAATCAGAAAATATCAACTCCTGAATTAGCAATAACACTTGCCACTATTGCAGTATGTTGCCTAATCGGAAATTGACCTCTTGCCTATTGCTGTGAGAACTATTTTCTTTAAAATATTTTAAAGTTATAAAAAACAAAACAGGTAGATTGTTTATACCTGCTTCATATTCATAGTCAGAATGTATTAATAATTCTTACTATGAGTTACCTTTTAGGCTCAGTGTTATAAACTATTAAATACTAAACTAAATAAAATAATAAATGCCCCGCCATATAAAACATGTTGTAGCAAGTATAATGCAGAAACAGATAAGATAATAAATTGGAGAAAACAAGGGTAAATAACTTTATTAAATATTGATATTGTTTACCAATAATTGTGTTAACCAATGGTCAATAAAAAACTGTTTATCAAACTAATCTAAAAAAAAAAAAAAACTAATCTATTAACTCAAAACTAATCTATTAACTCAAAACTAGTTTAGAATAGCAATAAAAATTTAATAAAATATTCAGAAATATTAAATCTTATAGGATTAACTCTTACTTCCGATCTCTCTTGGAAACCGAATATCAAATCCATTGCACAATTAGCATCTGCAAAGGTTGCATATTTTTATCGTGCTCGATAAATTCTTACTCCGGATTCTATTCTTTATCTCTGTAAATCTCAAATCTGCCTTTGTATGGAATACTGTTGCCATATCTGATGCGGATCTTCTAATGATGCCCTTTTTCTTTTAGACAAGGAGCAAAAACACATTGTAAACATAGTTAGATTTGATATTCATGCAATGGATTTGATATTCGGTTTCCAAGAGAGTTACTCTTGCAGCCAACCTCCAACCAATATCACATTATCGTAATGTTGCTTTTCTTTTTCTTTTCTATATATACAATTATGAGCACAGCTCTAAAGAGCTAGCATCTCTTGTGCCATATACTAAAATTCATTCTCATGTTACTCGTCATTCAATTAAGTCTCATCCTTTTTCTGTGACTGTTCCTAAGTGCTCCAAAAACTCTTATTTGTCTAGTTTTTTTCCTTGTTCATTGGAATTCACTTCCTTCATCTTGCTTTACTGATTCATATAAATTGCAATCTTTTAAGTCAGATTATGATTCTAAATTTCCTTATTTAATTTACCTATGAATGATGTATTAGGGTGGGCTGAAAAATAACAGCTTTCAAAAATCACATTTCATTACCTCTAAACATATTCTATATAGTAAACTAACACTAGAAATAAAATAAAAAAAAATCTGAATAAAAAATATTTTTAGAGTTGCCCCTAAGTCCCTTAAACATTTAAAATGTTCCTGGTATTTTGAAAAAACAAAATTTTCAAAATATTTTTCAAAAAGTAGGTCAATCACAGATCACAATAATACATAATGTTATTCTTTTTTGTTACATATTTGAAGACTACAACATTTTAGTTAAAAAGCAAAAAATTTCAAACAGTTCCCAATTCTATATCAATATTTGGAGCTATATTGCATAACTAGTCATTTGAAAGTATATGAATGAAATATTTTTTAAAAAGAAAACATGTCTCACTTACAGCAATGTTCTTAGTTAAAAATAAATGTTATTTTTGAATCTATAACTGCAGTTTTATTCATCTTGCAAATCATACATGTACTTTCATACAATACATACTTGTACAATCATACATGACTTTCAATAATCTTATTCCAATAAATATTACTGAAAACTTGAAGCAAGGGGATCTAATGCTTTTTAAGTGTGGAAGAGATTGTAGCATAGAGTGTATAGTCTGTGGTATGGCAAAATATATGAGATCTCAGTACTTTGAGATCTTTAGATGATTGGAATATACTATATTACGAGGCTATATTGCCACACAAAAAAAATGCAGGTTTTCTAGATAATTTTAATGAACATACATCGAAGATCTTTATAAATCTTTGCCTTAAAAATTCTACATTTTATCAGACTTTAATAAATATTATTTTTCCATAGAACATTGTGAAGCCATGCTTGATCAAGGAAGAAGATAAATCCAAATTGGTGTTAGATGTTATACCTTCACCAGAACTTCACATGCTGATGGGCCCTGTAAATCATGTCATCATTCTTAACTAAATTGTAGCCCAATTTTGAGATGTGGGTTTCAAGCTTGGGATGTATAAGAAAAGGATAAGCATTTCCTTCATAATTTTCATAGTGAAAATTATGAAGGAAATGCTTCATAATGGATACTAGAACAGTGTTGAGCTGGACAATCTGTTACCAGTAGAGCTACTACCTCTATTAGAACCCCTGTTAAAGTTCTGTGTGGTAGTTCAATGAACATTCAGAAACAGTTTTGATCCCAATTACAGAATGACATTTAGCATTTACGCAATTTTATGTGGTTACCCAAGAATACTATAAGGAGGTAGGCTAATGTTTCTTTTTGCTTTTAACAATATTGTCTGCCCCAGTACATTTTTTGGTATTTCACTATAATTTATATATAAAACTTTTCTAAAAGAGATATTATTACAATAAACAGCATTATTTAAAAAAATTTGATAGATATTTTATTATAGTATCTAGAAAAGGATCTGTCATTTGGAAAGTACATGCTATTACACCACACTTAAAAATCTCCAGATCAGGCCA